AAAGGGAATACATATAAATATAAATTCAAAACATTGATATTTAAAAACATATATCTAAATATATATAGAAAGGAGATTAAGATCAACCCAATTTAATTACATACTGTATGTAGATTTGGAAATCTTCCAGGTATATATAAATCTTCCAGGTATAAATAAATACCCTTTACCCTAGTATGTAATTAAATTGGGTTGATCTTAATCTCCTTTCTATATATATTTAGATATATGTTTTTAAATATCAATGTTTTGTGAATTTGAATTTATATTTATATTTATATGTATTCCCTTTCCCCCCTTTTTCTCTCTGTAGTATATTTGATATATGTAAATGTGTATCTACTATATCATATGGTGTGAACTGTAATTTTAATTTAAATTATGGCTTTTGCCCTCTCTGGACGTCTAAGAGATCCATTTTTAAAGAGGGAAAATTGATTTAGGACTTGTTGCCCCGCCCCTGACGTAAACGCCACGACGGCAATGCGATGTGGACGTCATGACGTCATACGTGGGGGATGTTACGTTTGTGAGTGGCGCCGGAAGTAGAGGAGAATGCGGCCAGACGCCAAATAATGACGTGGATGCGGCCGAATACCGGAAACCGGAAGAGGAAGTGAATTCCAGCCGGCAGGAAGGGCGCCAAGAAAGAGGTATTTAAATCAGACAGAAAGAAGAAAGATGGACTTTTGAAAAAGGCTATATGCCGAAACGCGTCAAGTTTATTTTTAAGAGGACTTTTTAAAACAACAGTGTTTGTTTGTATCCAGCTTTTTAATATATGTGGAATAAAAGTTTTTTGCACTTCATCATTTCTTGCATCCAGATTTGATTGAAACAGCTTGAACTAAGGACCACAAAGTGAATTGAGCTTGGAGTTCTCTTGTACATATGCTGATATGCAGTTAGTCTGAGCCAGCTTTTTTAAGTGGCTCATGACCATGTGAGTTTGACCATATTAAGGTATTTTAAGCATTACAGTTGCTTCGTTATTACCCTATATGTTCTTTTCTCTTGTTTTTAGATTCCTATGGAGGTTTAAGTAATACAAGGGTAAAAATATACAGTGTGCTCTCACCATTCACAATTTTGTATACTGTTTTATTCTGTTTTGTGCTAAGTGACTCACATTGGTGATTGGAGCACCTAATTTCTGGACTATTTCTAACCTTAATTCTTTTATACTTTACTGCTTGTTTTATTGTCACTTTTTAAGGTTACTGGTCTAGAAGATCATGTCTATTTTCCAAATAAGAAGCAAATGGCGAAACAATTTAGAACAAAAATTTGAAATGGAAAATGAGGGTAAAATTAATGAAAGTATCCTCATAGACAATGATCTAGATACAATATGTAAAGAGTTGGAAAAACTTCTAATTAAAGAAATGAAGATCAAATGGGAGATTTTTACTTTAGAAAAATATATTGCTCTCCAGATTACCCCAAGGGGTTTAAGATTTGATAAATTACCCACTTTTGATCAAGAAAACGCAGATTTTATGGGAATTTGGGATGGGGCCCTTGATTCCTTTTCCTCCCATATGATGAGAATCATTATAGATCGTAGGAATTTGAACCTACATGAATTGGAGGATAAAATTAAGAAAATTCAGAGTCAATTAGAACCTTTTTTTGATTTAGAGGAATTTGAGAATATTACTAAAATTATGATTAAAAAAATTAATGATATTGAAATATCAGTAATTAGAACAAAGAAACGAAAATTAAAGAGAGACCAAGATGACTATAAGACTGGGAATATTAGATTACAACAACAAAAAAAGAAAAGAATTCCTAAAGAACCATCCAAAAGAGATTTAAGTATGAAAAAGAGAAAGGTTGAAAATGGAAGAAAAGAGCCATATGGGAGGGAAAGAAGGAATGATTATGAGGAAAGGAAGTTTAACCATCAGACCAAATACAATAATCAAGAAGAAAAGAATAGGGTAGAAGGAGGTTGGACAGAGGTTAAATATAAGAAAGGATATAGGAAGGATAGAAGAAACGAAGAATATAATTTCAGAACTCCAAAGGTCCATCTTGCTAATAGATTTAATAAACTGAGGAATTTGGACAATGAGGACCATTTTTTAGGTCAGGATATACACAGACCAATAGAGAGAAAAAGGAATGTATATACCCCTATCAAACGAGGCAGAGAACTAGAAGAGGGGGAACTAGACAACATCAAGGAGGAGAAAAGGAAGAGGGAAGAAAGGAGTTGGAGAAGGTAGAATCTAAAATTGGAAAAGGAGATTTTAGAATTTTTAATTTATCAAATAAAGTTTTAACTAATTCACATGTTCAAATTTTAAGTAAAGGTTTTAAATTTGCACCGAGTTGTGCAGCTGATAAATTTGGAACATTTATTGACCTTAATAGATTCACAAGAAAATTATGTCTAAAAAATTTTTTTAAGACCATGCCCCTGAAATCTGTTGAAAAAGTAGATGATGGTTTTAAACATACAGTTTTGAAAAATAAATCATCATTTTATCCTTTTAATTTTAAGACGGATTCGATTAGGACATTTGAGAGATCTTGTTTGAAAGATATAAAGAAAATTAAACCCCTAAATAAATATCAAAATAATCTTATGAAAGAAGAAAGAGAGGCGTTGAAAGACTTACAAAAAGACGCAAATATAGTGATTAAACCTGCGGATAAAGGGGGAGGAGTAATAATTTGGAAAAAGGAGAAATATATGGAAGAGATTTATAGACAATTAGAAGACTCTAGTACGTATCAAGAACTCCAAGATAATCCACTTAACAAAAATGTAGAACTATATCAGACGTTTTTAAATAAAGGATTGGAAAAAGGTATTCTAAACCAAAAAGAATTCGAGTTTTTAAACGTTAAGTTCCCAAAAATCCCTGTCTTTTATGTGCTTCCAAAAGTACATAAAAATGCAGATAATCCACCAGGGAGACCCATAGTCTCAGGCATAGGATCCCTTTTAGCCCCACTCTCAAAATATATCGACCAGTTTTTACAAGATCCTGTTAAGAAATGTAGAGCGTATCTTAAAGACACAATGAGTCTTTTAAATATTCTAAATGATTTTAAGTGGGAAGATAACTACATTTTGGCAACTGCAGATGTGAACAGCCTTTACACCAATATTGATCACAGTAGGGGTTGTGAGGCTGCAGCTCATTTTTTAAGAAAATTTAGTGAGTTGTCAGACATCCAAATCAACTTTATTATTGAAGGAATAGAGATAATACTTAATAATAATTTTTTTTGGTTTAATAAAAAATTTTATCTGCAGATTAAAGGTACAGCTATGGGGACCAGATTTGCCCCAAGCTATGCTAATCTTTTCATGTCATATTGGGAAGACTGCTTTATCTTCAATGATGAAATAATTGGGGCAAATCTGGTCCTCTATAAGCGCTATATAGATGATGTGTTTTTAATATGGAAAGGTAGTGAGGAAACACTTCAAACACTTTTTAACAACTTAAATAAAAATAAGTGGAATATTACCCTTACATATGACATTAGTCGGCAAACCATTAATTTTTTAGATTTAACCATTTTTATTGAAGAACAAAAGATTAAAAGTAAAACCTATTTTAAGTCGGTTGACGTTAATAGTTTTATTGACTGTAAAAGTTGCCATTTTAGACCATGGCTGGAAAATATCCCAAAAGGACAAATGTTACGGATTAAAAGGAACTGTACTGAAAATAAAGAGTTTGTACAGCAAACAGAAAGATTAATGGGACAGTTTGAGGAAAAAGGTTATAATAGTAATACCCTGGAAAAAACCTTTAGAGAGATTGAAAAAATTGATAGACAAGCACTTTTACAATATAAAAATAAAAATAAACCTTTAGGTCAAAGAGAGGATGAGGAAGTACCTCTTATCTTTGATTTTAGCTCCAATAATAAGGACCTGAGGAAAATAATTTATAAAAACTGGCATATTTTAAAAACAGATGATAGGTTAACAAGTTTTATAAAGGAAAAACCAAAAATTATTTTTAGAGGGGCGAGGAATCTTAAACAAGTTTTAACTAAAAGTTTTTTAGATATTGATAAGAAGGATAATTTTTTGAAACAACCAAATGGATTTTATTATTGTGGAGACTGTAGGGGCTGTAAAGCAACCAAAAATAGGCCTTCCAAAAAAATCCAGAATTTTTCGTCCAAAACTTCAATAAAAAAGTATGATATTAAATCCTTTATAACATGTAATAGTAAAGGGGTGATATACATGTTAACCTGTCCATGTGGTTTACAGTACATAGGGAGGACCTCTCGTAGTCTCAAAATCAGAATTAGGGAACACATCTATAATATTAATCGCAAATTTGAAAATCATAGTGTGTCTAAACACTTTATGGAGTATCATAATAGTGATCCAAAAGACTTAGATTTTGTAGGAATTGAAAAAGTAGACATACATTGGAGAGGGGGAGATAAAGAAAATTTATTAAATAGGACGGAAATGAAATGGATCTTTAATATGGACACTCTAATACCACAAGGTCTAAATGTGGACTTTGAGATCACCCCATATTTATAAAGTCAATTTTAGTTGTATTGTAATCATTTTTTATATCCAAAAAATTTTTTACAAAAATTTTTAGGAATTTTTTAAAATAATTTATTAGATTTTTAATTAGTATATATAGGTAATTCACGGTACCAAAAGGGTATTTATTTATATATACCTGGAAGATTTCCAAATCTACATACAGTATGTAATTAAATTGGGTTGATCTTAATCTCCTTTCTATATATATTTAGATATATGTTTTTAAATATCAATGTTTTGTGAATTTGAATTTATATTTATATTTATATGTATTCCCTTTCCCCCCTTTTTCTCTCTGTAGTATATTTGATATATGTAAATGTGTATCTACTATATCATATGGTGTGAACTGTAATTTTAATTTAAATTATGGCTTTTGCCCTCTCTGGACGTCTAAGAGATCCATTTTTAAAGAGGGAAAATTGATTTAGGACTTGTTGCCCCGCCCCTGACGTAAACGCCACGACGGCAATGCGATGTGGACGTCATGACGTCATACGTGGGGGATGTTACGTTTGTGAGTGGCGCCGGAAGTAGAGGAGAATGCGGCCAGACGCCAAATAATGACGTGGATGCGGCCGAATACCGGAAACCGGAAGAGGAAGTGAATTCCAGCCGGCAGGAAGGGCGCCAAGAAAGAGGTATTTAAATCAGACAGAAAGAAGAAAGATGGACTTTTGAAAAAGGCTATATGCCGAAACGCGTCAAGTTTATTTTTAAGAGGACTTTTTAAAACAACAGTGTTTGTTTGTATCCAGCTTTTTAATATATGTGGAATAAAAGTTTTTTGCACTTCATCATTTCTTGCATCCAGATTTGATTGAAACAGCTTGAACTAAGGACCACAAAGTGAATTGAGCTTGGAGTTCTCTTGTACATATGCTGATATGCAGTTAGTCTGAGCCAGCTTTTTTAAGTGGCTCATGACCATGTGAGTTTGACCATATTAAGGTATTTTAAGCATTACAGTTGCTTCGTTATTACCCTATATGTTCTTTTCTCTTGTTTTTAGATTCCTATGGAGGTTTAAGTAATACAAGGGTAAAAATATACAGTGTGCTCTCACCATTCACAATTTTGTATACATCCAGTCGTGCCCAATCCATATAACCTGCTTGCTTTAATTCCGGGCGGGGCTACTTACTTTACAGTCTTAGATCTCAAAGATGCCTTCTTTTGCCTCCGAATTGCCGCAGAAAGCCAATGTATCTTCGCTTTCCAATGGGAAAATGCTGTAACGGGCTCGAAACGCCAAATGACCTGGACAAGATTGCCCCAGGGGTTTAAAAATTCACCTACCCTATTTGGTTCAGCTCTAAGTCAAGATCTACTAGATTTCGAGTCTATCCCAGGAGAGTGTGTATTATTACAATATGTAGATGACTTGTTGATAGCAGCAGTTACAAAGGAAGTATGTCAGCAAGCAACGCACGATCTACTACACATTCTCTGGAAGGCAGGATACAAGGTGTCAAGAAGGAAGGCTCAGTTGTGTTTGCCAACTGTCAAATATCTGGGATTCCATATCTCTGAAGGTCAAAGAATTATGGGGCCAGAGAGAAAAGAAGCTGTGTGCCAAATACCGATACCCAGGAATAGAAGACAAGTGCGAGAATTCTTGGGGGCAGCAGGCTTCTGTAGGATATGGATTCCCAGCTACGCGATACTGGCAAAACCTCTGTATGCAGCTATCAAAGGTACAGAGCACGACCCCTTCTTATGGACTCAAGAACAGCAAACGGCATTCGAAGATGTGAAGAGGGCTTTGATGAGTGCCCCAGCATTAGGTCTACCTGACCACACACGGCCATTCTACCTGTATGTACATGAGCAAAGAAGAATGGCTGTGGGAGTATTGACACAGTACTTGGGATCATGGCAAAGACCTGTTGCCTACATGTCTAAGCAACTGGATGCAGTGGCCAGCGGACTTCCACCTTGTCTAAGAGCTGTAGCTGCAGCCGCCCTGCTAGTAGCTGAAGCCGATAAACTCACTCTGGGTCAAGAACTTTATGTACGAGTTCCACATGCAGTACAGACGTTGTTGGATTACAAAGGAAATCATTGGTTTAGTAACAGCCGTATGACCAAGTATCAAGCAATGTTGTGTGAAAACCCAAGAGTGCATTTAGAGACTGTAAATACCTTAAATCCAGCTACCCTTTTGCCACAACCTACTGAAAGTCAACATGATTGTTTGGAAGTAATGGATGAAGTATTTTCAAGTAGACCAGATCTTCGTGATTTTCCCATCCAGAACCCTGATGTTCAATATTACACCGACGGCAGTAGTTATGTAAAAGAAGGGATCCGCTATGCAGGATATGCAGTAACAACGATAGACAAGGTGATAGAAGCTCGGCCACTGGCAAAAGGAACATCAGCACAAAAGGCAGAATTGATAGCACTGACACGAGCGTTACAATTGGCTGAAGGTTTAAGAGTGAACATCTACACGGACTCCAAGTATGCGTTTTTAACCACTCATGCCCACGGAGCTTTGTATAAAGAAAGAGGACTATTGAATTCAGAAGGCAAAGAAATCAAATACGCAGCTGAGATCCTACAACTATTGGAAGCAGTGTGGGAGCCGAAAGAAGTCGGTATTATACATTGTCGGGCGCATCTGAGAGGAGATGGTGATGTAACCAAAGGGAATCGGATGGCAGATAGTACAGCTAAGCGTGCTGCTGAATCAGGAAGACAGGAATATGTGGGGCATATAGCTGCTCTTATACCAACTCCACTGTCTCAATGGACTCCAATTTATACAGCTCAAGAAGAGGAGTGGTTAAGGACTGAACCTGGAAAGTATTTGGAGAACAAATGGTATCAGTTAGAAGATGGAAGAATAGTTATTCCAGCATCACTAGCGGTAGAAATTGTCCAAAACTATCATAACGGGACACATTCTGGGAGAGACAGTACAGAAGAATCTCTCAGAAAACATTTCTACATACCAAGATTGTCCAACTTGACTCAGGCCATTGTACGTAGATGTGTAACGTGTGCTAAAAATAATGCAAGACAAGGACCAGTAAAGCCACCAGGAGTCCAGTTTATGGGGGGACTTCCCATGTCCGATTTACAAATTGACTATACAGTGATGCCTAAATCGGGTGGACATCGCTACCTGCTGGTAGTGGTGTGCACCTATTCAGGCTGGGTAGAAGCATGTCCTACTCGTACAGAGAAAGCAGGAGAAGTCGTGAGATTCCTGCTACGAGAAATAATACCCCGATATGGACTACCCTGCTCTATAGGATCGGACAATGGTCCAGCTTTTGTTCATCAGTGCCTACAACAATTGACTCATATGCTTGGTATAAAGTGGAGGCTTCATACGGCATATAGACCCCAGAGTTCTGGTAAGGTAGAGAGAATGAATAGAACTATTAAGAATCAGTTGGCTAAAATGTGTCAGGAAACCCAACTTAAGTGGAACGTTCTCTTGCCCATAGCTCTATTGCGAATCCGTAGTACACCTACCAGAAGGATGGGCCTCTCTCCTTTTGAAATCATGTACGGGCGACCACCTCCCGTGCTTGGTAACTTAAGGGGGGATTTGAGTCAGTTGGGAGAAGGAATTACCCGGCAGCAGGTTGTAGAGTTGGGTAAGACTATGGAGGAGGTACAGAAATGGGTACAAGATAGATTACCTGTGAATATTTATCCCCCAATTCATAGTTACCACCCAGGCGACCAAGTGTGGATTAAAGAGTGGAATAATGTGCCGTTAGGGCCCAAGTGGAGAGGTCCTTATGTTGTTCTTCTGTCTACCCCTACAGCGATAAAAGTAGCCGAAGTGGCTCCGTGGATACATCACTCCAGGGTTAAACCAGCAGCAGCCGATTCCTGGCAAGTTACAGCAAATCCAGAGAATCCCTGCAAGATCCGGTTAAAACGCACGACTCAGTCGGAGTGACGAGGAACCTTGTAGATTACAAATTTTATTGTTTCAGAGACTTGGTAAGTGAGTGAGAAGGCCATAATAAAGCCTGTCCACTCACCAACGAGTGTATAAGTCAGGGAAAGTCTTGAGGGGACCCCTGTGAAGACGAGCAGAACTCCATTCCCTGCAGTCCTTACATCCTGGAAGCTGAGGTGCCTTCACACGGACGAAGACTGAGGATGACGACGAAAGATGTATTTTTAATAATGTTTATTTATGTGTATTTTTATATTCAGGAAGGTAGAGGTACCAACACTCCTAGCTGTGAGGTATGCATTAAGACTACAAGAACAGGTAACCATATATCCCAGACCCTAATTTGGCATTCGCAATATGAGTGTAAAGGAGATGTATCAAGATGTAGATACTTAAATATAGAATATAGTGTGTGTCATTTAGGAGTAGGAGAACCTAAGTGCTTCAGTCCTGAGTATCAACCCCGTACAATTTGGTTGACTCTCAGAAATGGAGATTCTCAGGGGACCCTAATTAATAAGACGGTATTAAAATCCGTATATTCTTCAGGTGCTCTGCTATTTGATGCGTGTAAAGCAATATCAAGTGGTAGAAAGCCGTGGAATGTATGTGGGGATCTTAGATGGGAGAGGACGTATGGGTCTAACGATAAATATATTTGTCCCAGTAGTAAAAATAAATATGTAAGTCCAAGATGCCCAAATAGAGATTATAACTTCTGCCCATATTGGTCTTGTGTGGGGTGGGCGACTTGGGGACAGACAGCAGACAAGGACATGATTGTGACTAAGTTGCCTACTAATCCATATTGTAAGTCTATGGAATGCAATCCAATCCATTTACTTATAAATAACCCTGACAAGTTCTTAGATAAATATGGTAATTTATTTGGGTTTCAAATATATGGGACGGGTTTAGACCCTGGGACAATATTGTTTATAGGGATAGAGACTGATACGGTAACCTCCCAAACTCATCAAGTATACCATTCCTTTTATGAAGAGATGAGCATAGATAATAAGATCCCCCATAATGCTAAAAACTTGTTCATTGATTTAGCCGAGAGTATTGCCGGTAGTCTTAATGTTACCAACTGCTATGTGTGTGGAGGTACTAACATGGGAGACCAATGGCCTTGGGAAGCAAAGGAGGTAATGTCTGGTTCTGAGGCAGTTGACCAATTAATATCTACACAAGCCGACTATCATATGAGTGTTAGAGGTAAATCTGAGTGGAGATTGAAGACCTCCATCATAGGTTATGTTTGTATAGCGAGGAAAGGAATGATGTATAATACTTCTGTAGGAGAATTAACTTGTCTAGGGCAAAAAGCTTATGATGATGATACAAAGAATACAACTTGGTGGTCGGCTTCAAATGTCTCAGAACCATCTAACCCGTTTGCAAGATATGCCAATTTAAAGGACGTATGGTTTGATCTATCCATCACATCTAACTGGAGAGCCCCAGCGAATTTGTACTGGATCTGTGGTAAGAAGGCCTATTCGGAGTTACCACAGGACTGGGAAGGGGCATGTGTGTTGGGTATGTTAAAACCATCCTTCTTCTTGTTGCCTATTGAAACAGGTGAGACTTTAGGTGTTAAAGTGTATGATGTGAATCATAGGAAGAAAAGGGGACCCATAGAGATAGGTGCCTGGGAAGATAATGAATGGCCTCCCCAGCGTATTATAGATTATTATGGGCCAGCCACGTGGGCAGAGGATGGTACCTTTGGTTATAGAACCCCTATTTATATGCTCAACCGCATTATAAGGTTACAGGCGGTGGTTGAGATCATTACTAACGAGACATCACAAGCGCTCAATCTTCTAGCGAAGCATAATACCAGGATGAGGACAGCAGTTTACCAAAATAGATTAGCCTTGGATTATCTTTTGGCAGTAGAGGGAGGTGTATGTGGGAAGTTTAACCTGAGCAATTGCTGTCTTCAAATAGATGACGAAGGGCAAGCAATAGCTGAGCTTACTAGCCATATGGTTAAACTAGCGCATGTGCCTACTCAGGTATGGAAAGGGTACAATCCAAGTAGTTGGTTTGGTAGCTGGTATGAGTGGTTTGGAGGGCTTAAGGCAGTGGTAGGTGGAGTCCTACTGATTTTAATGTTGTGTCTACTCCTGCCGTGTCTTATACCCTTAGTAGTTAGGTCTGTGCAAAGCCTGATAGAAAATATAGCAGAGAGGAAGGCTGCTGCACAGATAATGGCAATTTATAAATATAAGGCTCTAGATCAGGGAGAACCAATGCAGGAAGACGAGTGTTGAAGATTCACATCATAGGATAAGTCTGGTCTGGTTCAAAGGTAACTTGTGGTGTATGCAAACCAAGGTTAAGTGATGCCTCAAGTAATTGTAAAATATCAAGAGGCATCAAAGGGGGGAATGTGGTGGAATCTCGGTAAAAATAAATTTAGTAGGCCGAGATTACCACGTGGCATGTGTACGTGCATATGCTGACGTATCGATCAGTTGGTTGCACGAGGCAAGATACGATCAGTAGTGTACGGAGCATGTGCAAGAATACAGGATGTAGTATTCCCCTCCTCCATTGTGCTGGACAAGCCATGCGGTCAAGCAGGAAGTTAATTCTTATTTGTAATGATTGGTCAAGAGAATGTGCGGGTGGAGCTTAATATGGGAGGAGTTATGTGCCTATATAGGGAGCCTGCACTATTGTTCAGGGCTCAGAACTTGCTGTATTTTTGGTGACATTAGTCCCTCTGAGTCCCGATCGGTGATCCAATAAAGAATCTCTTCCTTCCTGAAGAAACCTGTGTCCATCCCTCTGTGCTTTGCTTCCGTCAGTTTCTCCGGTATCAATATAAATAAAGAGACTGCAAGCTATTAGTGTATAGCAGCCATGTTTTAGGAGATACAGGAAGGAAGCACACACCCCAACAGGAAACTTGTGCAATAGAGAATAAACCATAGAGTTAGTTGCATGTAAACAAAACATAACATCCATAACACTCTCTTGATCCGATGCATGGAACTGGCAGAAATCTTCCTCAATGTGCCTTTATCTGCACGAACCCGTCTGTGCTCTGAATCAGCCACAAATCTCTTAATAGTGCGATGATCACGTTTTCATGAAATATCTAATGTTTTCATACCTCGTCCAAGGCATTTAACTATTTCACTCTTTTCGGCAGCAAAGAGATCTTTTTTCTTCCCCATATTGCATGAAAATGGTGCTCTGCTTAATAATGTGGAACACCCTCCTTTAGTAGTTTTTCCTTAAATTGGGCTCAATCTAATTATCACAGGTATCCGAGATTGTTTTCAGTGATCAAAAGAGCCCTGAGACACAATGCCATCCATGAGTTAAACTGAAAAACAAAATATTTAATCTTTGTGACACTTAAATAGAATTTGCATAATAATTTGGAACAGGGTGTGTAGTGTATGCTATTGCCTCTAGTTCCCCAATTTTGTTATATAGGCTCCTTGCATTAGCAAGCATACATTTAATATTATCATGAGTCATTTGTACTTTTTGTGAATTATCAATATTACATACCTCCTCTGTTCTGAGCTTTCCCCTCCCCCATCTCCACCCCCTTTGTTCTGAGCTAAAGCCCATCTCCTTTCCATCCTATCTCCATTTTCTAGATTGCTTTGACCCTCCCCCCCTACGACTAGTTTACAATCTTCTCCAACCTTCTAGCCATCCTATCCAGCAGACCCTCTTCCGTTTAGGTGCAATCCATCATGACTATACAGGTTGTACCCAAGCGCAAAAATCAGCCCAGTGCTCTAAAAACCCAAAACCCTCTTTCCTGCATCAAGACTTTAGCCATGCATTGACCTCTCTAATCTCCCGCTGCCTTTCTGCTGTAGCACGCGGCACAGGTAATATTTCTGAAAATATTACCTTGGAGGTCCTTTTCTTTAGCTTACTTCCTAGTTCCCTGAACTCATTCTTTAGGACCATCCATTTTCCTCTGACTTTGTCATTGGTACCAATATGGACCATGCCAGCCCCTCCCAATAATCTCTCCACTCTGTCGGCAACATGCCGGAGCCGAGCACCCGGGAGACAGCAAACTGTCTGGCTGAGTCGATCAGAGTGGCAGATTACCCTATCTACTCTCTTAATAATAGAGTACCCTACCACCACAACCTGTCTAGACTTCCTTTCCCTCTCAACCCCACCCTTACTAGAGGGGTTGTTTCCACGGCTGTTAGAAGGAACAGCTTCCTGCAGTACAGCTACTCCTGAGCTGTTGCTCCCAACATCTTCACTCAAACGGGCAAATCTGTTCGGCTGCACAAGATCAGGACTAGCTAAATCTTTCCTCTTCCCTCCCCCTCTACTTCCTTGCCCCACTGTTACCCAGCTATGTGCCTATCTGTGTCATCTGTGTGTATCTGTGTCAGTGTGTGTATCTGCATGTCACTATCTGCCAGTGTGTATATCTCTGTGTCAGATTCATACACACTGGCAAATACAAACACAGATACACACACACACACACACACACAAATACACACTGTGTGTCAAGGTGTGTGTATCTGTGTGTGTGTGTATCTGTGTGCCACTATGTGCCAGTGTGTGTGTGTGTGTGTGTGTGTGTGTGTATCTGTGTGTCAGATACATACACACACAGATACACATTGACACACAGACACACAGTGGCACATACAAACACAGATACACACAGACACATACAAATAAAAGAGCGTTGTTTTTTTTCGGGGTTGGGGGGGTTTGGGGGTTTCCACAATGTTGATACACTATGTCAAAGGGTTCCACAGGAAAAATTACTTGGGAACCCCTGGCTTAGAGCACTGGGCAACCAGCTTAGGGTCTTCTGGCTCTTCATAGGAAGTAATGGAAGCAGGAAGTGGTACCTGGCAGACTTCTGGTAAAATATCAAGCTGTTCTAAAACGGTTTGACTAAAAAGGAGAGGGGGTGGCCACCAAGGACATTTATGTGACCTCACTTATAACATACGTGGACACATAAATTAAACCAATAATAAGCTTTAAAATGCTGAAAAATATCCACTGTGAGCTTTCAGCACAGATTTGTGAATTCTGCTCTTAAAATTCTTAAAAATTGTATGAACTCTGATTCTCTGTAGATTCTAAAATTCATGGAGCCTAGAGTGGAAAAATTATCATAAAATTACATTCCGGAATATAAGAATATAAAACAAGAACTTTATTTACACTTCTTAACAGGTATAGTGGATTATTAAAAGTACCTTTTACTTCTACACAGTTATATATGTATAGTA